GAAGAAGGCATTGTTATCACAGGAGACGGCAGCTCCATGTGTGTCATTGCCCCTGAAGACCTGCCAGGGGGACAAGATGTGAAGGAGGAAGACAGTGAAATTGCTGTGTAGGCCTAGACTAATGTGTGTTGCTTGTGTCTTAGTTTTTTTTTTTTTTAAAAAAAACAAAGTTTAAAAAGTAAAAAACAAAAATAAAAAATTTAAAAATTAGAACAAAGCGGTCAGGCGCGGTGGCTCACGCCTATAATCCCAGCACTTTGGGAGGCCGAGGCAGGCAGATCAAGAGGTCAGGAGATCGAGACCATCCTGGCTGACACGGTGAAACCCCGTCTCTACTAAAAATACAAAAAAATTAGCCAGGCGTGGTGGCGAGCCCTGTAGTCCCAGCTACTCGGGAGGCTGAGGCAGAAGAATGGCGGGAACCTGGAAGGTGGAGCTTGCAGTGAGCCGAGATTGCACCACTGCACTCCAGCCTGGGCAACAGAGTGAGACTCCGTCTCAAAAAAAAAAAAAAAAGAAAAGAAATTAGAACAAAGATTATAAAATAAGGATATAAAGAAATAAAATATTTTTTGTACAGCCGTATATGTGTGTTTTGAGCTAAATGTTACTGCAAAAAAGAGAGATACATTTTTTTAAGTTTCTAAGGTAAAAATGTTACAGTAAGCTAAGGTTAATTTATTATTGAAAAAAATTTAAAAATCAATTTAGTGTCGCCTAAATGTACAATGTTTATAAAGTCTACAGTAATGTACAGTATGTCCCAGGCTTTCCCATTCACTCACCCTCACCCACTAACTCACCCAGGGCAAATTCCAGCCTGCAAGCTCCATTCCTGGTAAGTGCCCTATACAGGTGTGCCATTTAAAAAAGCTTTTTATAAATGTTACCATACCTTTTCTATGTTTAGATATGTTTAGATACAAAAATATTTACCATTGTGTTACCGTTGCCTATGGTATTCAGTACAGTAATATGCTGTACAGGTTTGTAGCCTAGGAGAAATGGCTATATCATACCATCTAGGTCTGTCCTCACTCAGACAGGATCAAATCCCCACTGTACCCCTTGGTCACTGTCTGATTTTAGACCAATCACTTACGCTCTCTGTGCTTAAGTTCTTATCGTTATAATGGCAGCGGCTGCCTCACAGATTTGTGAAGAGTAAAAACGTTACCCCACCCCTACTCTTCGTAGCAGCGATGAATACATTGTAAGTACACTTTAAATGGTACACATTCATATATTGGAAACATGTTAATAACAGAAAAAACTTCAGCTAATATTTCTAAGTGTGAAACTAATGGTCAGTGAGGAATACCAGATTTTAGTTGACATTTTAAGTGTAGCACATGCCTCACTCACGTTCCCCTGCGGGTCCTCTGGCTCGGATGATAAATATCGGTCTGTGGGAACTGACAGAATGGCTGCCAAAGATCTGGCAATAGGAAGGATCTTCTTATCACAGGCTGTGCTTCGAATCCTGGGGAATTTCTGTTTTCTTTACCGTTATCTCTTCCTTTACTTCACTGGGCTCAGGTTAAGGTCTACAGAGTTGATTATCAAGCACCTGACTGTAGTCAACTCTTTATTCTTAACCCTCTCAAAGAGTTTGGCAGACAATAGCAGCTTTGGAGTGGAAACCTTCCCTAAGTGATTTCAGATGCAAACTTCTTTTCTATGTTCACAGAGTAGGTAGGGGCGTTTCCACTGGCACCACCTGCTTCTGAGTGTCTTCCAAGGGATCACAATCAGTCCCAGGAACTCCAGGTGGGCAGAGTTGAAAGTAAAAGCCCCTAAGTACATTGGTTGCTCCATATTCCTGTGGTGGATCCTGTAAATTCTGGTAAATATCTTTTTTCCTATGTATGTGACTGGCAAATTGAGTAACAGAAACATCACAAAGACAAAAGATTTAGGATACTACTCTCCTGTTCGTCCTGACAAAAGCAGAGAGTCACTCCATGCCACATTGCTGCTGTTCCCAGATGTTTTATGTTTGAGAATCATGCCAGTGGCTCTATGGTTTTCATTCTTTACAGGCACGAGCAGCAAGTCCAATACATACATAGGACCAATATCCCCCCCAGATTCTTCCCTGAGTCCAGAGCTATCAAAATCATGCTCCTTCTGGTGACCAATTTAAAAAAAAATCATTTTATGCCCCATTCTTCACCTTTCGTTTAGCTCTTTTTAATACTCCTAGTTGGCTGATGGTGCACTTTTCTGTAACAACCAAGTCAAGTTTCCCAAATGTCAGCCCTTTGTTCTTAGGAGTAGAGACTCCCCAGTGTATTCAAGCTTTGCTTTTTCTGGGTAAGTAAACCCCCTAATCTCAGAAATATGTGAATTATATGTGTTTGTACAATCTGCGTCTGTATAGGTACACTCTATGATGTTCACACAATGATGAAATGACACCTAACCATGCATTGCTGAGAATGTATCCCCAACATTAAGTGACATATGACTGAAGTTCTATTATCATTGCTGACATCATCATCATCACTGTCCTCCTCATCATCATCACCATCATCATCATTATGCCTGTATTCCAACATAATGTTGGAAGAGAGGACAATTAATGCCTCTGTTAACCTTCTGTAACTCAGAAGAAAAGGGCTGAGAAGCAAAGGAAGAAAAAGCAGCCAGTCCAAGGCTCAGACCAGCTGCTGGCCCCACAAACTCCATATGTACTGTAGGAACTTAATTGCCTTTTTAATTGCCCAGACAGAATTCTCATGGATTGGCCATGAGAATTTTGGCTTGATTTCACCAGCTTTTATTGAAGCTGATAAAAAGAACTATATACAATAAAAGTGAATTTTTAGACACAAATATCAAGGTTCATCAGCCCCCAAGCCCTTTCTCCAAGTCAGTCCCCAACTATGACTGTAAGCCAAGGTGAGCAGATACAGTTAAAAGAAAGGTCACCTCAGGCACACACACAAAATAAAACTGCATAGCAGGCCTTCTAGGGGCCTCCTCCCTATTCACCAAGGCTGTGTTCCTTATAATATAGAAATCATGCTTTGTGTGTACAGAGTTAGGTGTAAAATGTTCAATATGTCCAACAACTGGAGAAAACCTAAATGCTCAACAGTGGGAAGACAGGGAAGTATAAGTGAATTTTGAAACATTAAAAAGGATGCTGCAGAAAATGGATTGATGGGGAAAGATTTTCATGATAAAATTACTTACAAAATAAGGCAGGGGGCATTTTACATATTTATACTATTTCTTTTAAGTTTTGGGTATGTTTAGTCTTGAAGGAACTATGTGTAGTTTATATGGGAAGAGAAAGGAGTTTCTACTATAAACCTTTGATATATTTGCATGGATTGGCTTATCAGGCTAGCTAACTGTAGAAGGCACAGACATTTTGGAGCAACGGGAATGAAGCAGAGAGTGAGAATGGCTCCACTTGGGAAGAGGAGAGAAAGGGCTTGGGGAACAAGCCTAGATCACACTTGGGAAGAAGAGGGAAAGGGCTTGGGGAACAAGCCTAGATCACATAGAAGCAGTACTGCCTGGTTAATGGGGGAAGGTGCAGATGGAAAAATTAGTGGAGTAAATGAAGGCTTGGTGTGATGCACCAAACTCCAGACTTTGAGCCTTTCTTAGTTTGGTCTAAGTATGTGGGGTAGTAGGGTAATGTCAGGGCCTGGGCTCCAGCTGACATGAAGTGGGATAGGAGTGACCCTGTGATGTTTCTATTTTGTTGTTATTGTTTTGACCTTTATATTCTTTCTTTAACCTACTTGGTTCTGAGTGGGGAGACTTGACTGTCCCCTCTTGAGTATCTTAAAGCCCAGGAGTGATGCAACCAACATCAGCTAAAAGAAAACAAGTGGGTTCAGAGGGAGAGTGATAATGCGGACAACACATACGTGGATCCTTTTCTTCTTCTTTTTTTTTTTTTATTATACTTTAAGTTCTAGGGTACATGTGGATAACGTGCAGGTTTGTTACATATGTATACTTGTGCCATGTTGGCGTGCTGCACCCATCAACTCGTCATTTACATCAGGTATAACTCCCAATGCAAGTAGCAGTTCACTGCCCTCAATGTACTGCCCCAGGTAGAAGATGGGTTAGGATTCAGAGCCTAACATCAAACATTGGGTACTTTGTTTCAACAGGTTAAAAAGAAACTCATGGTGTCACTGCAAATATATCTGAAAGGTGTTGGCAGCTTCAAAGGGATTCATTAAGAGATTTTCTCATTAAAATACTTGGAAGTTTACTAAACTGCATAAAGGTGCTTTTATAAAAGCAGGCCCAGGAGGCATTTTAATAAAGACCTCCAGTTAGATAACTGGACCAAGAGAGCTGTGTTAAAGGCTTGGAAGGGAGAGCAGTTTGCTGTAACACATCTTCAAGGGTGAAGTTCCTAACCCTTCTCACCTTGACTTTCCCTTCTTTAAAATGGTAATAATAATAGCCAGCCTAAACTTGGTGCTGTGTGGAGTGCCTGTAGTCCCAGATACTCAGGAGGCTGAGGCAGGAGGATTGCTTGAGCCCAGGAGTCCAGCCTGGGCAACATAATGCAGACCTTTGCTCTAACAATAAATAAATAAATAAACAGACAAATCAAATACTCAGCCTTACAGTGATGTTGAAAGGATTAAATACTATTTTTATTTATTTGTGAAAAAAGTCTATTATTAAATTGCAACTAATTAATGTTAATTCTTTTTTTTTTTTTTTTTGAGACGGAGTCTCGCTGTGTCTCCCAGGCTGGAGTGCAGTGGCCGGATCTCCACTCACTGCAAGCTCCTCCTCCCAGGTTCACGCCATTCTCCTGCCTCAGCCTCCTGAGTAGCTGGGACTACAGGCGCCTGCCACCTCGCCCGGCTAGTTTTTTGTATTTTTTTAGTAGAGAGGGGGTTTCACCGTGTTAGCCAGGATGGCCTTGATCTCCTGACCTCGTGATCCGCCCGTCTCGGCCTCCCAATGTTAATTCTTTTATAGGTAATACAAAAGGTACTCAACATTACCATCTGAACCAAAATCTGTGGCACTTGGTTTAGAAAGATCCTAGGTTTTCTCTCGGTGACTCATACCTAAAAGACAAGTGATAGAAGAGGAAGGTTCAACTCAGCCCACTCCTCAAGGCTCAGAATGATGAAAATGGTGGGATGTTCAAGGAAGGAAGTAGTCAGAAGGTCAGAATTTGAATAAGAACGGAAATATTTTCTCATCCCCATCATGTTCAAGTGATACTTGGTCTTAAGAAGTGAAACCTATAAGGGCTGATAAAATTTTGGAGCTTTCTGAAAGAGTGCTCAAAAAGATAAGAAAGAAGAAAGGAGCCATTGTTGAAATGACATATACACACTGTAATAGTGAACCCTGGACAAAGAGATACACCATTATTGCAATTTGGCTTTCAGTCCAGAGACCAGTTCAGCCAAATACTTTGTTCATGCTTTTTAAAACTCAGTGGCGAGTACATAAAAATGTCTGCAACCCCGAAGAGGTTGTTAAATTCTTTCTTAAGAACAAGACAGAAAGGAGAAGTGATTTACTGGAGTAGGTTGCTGGGTTTGTTTTTTATTTTTATTTTTGCTCTTCTAATTCCCAAGCCCACAGCAGCCCATCTAGTTGAATCTTGATTTGTTTTTGTCTCATATGAATGTGAACATCCATCCTCCCAGCAGAAATGGTAAATAGCTGTACACGTCTCTGTCATGAAGTAGTCATAAATAACCATCATTTATGGGGCTGGTGGGAGGGCAACTTTTGAGCTTACAGAACTACCTGCAGAAACACTGTTCTGTGAAGTTTTTTTGTAACTGAAGGAGAGAAAACATTGATTTTTGTTGAGGTTGCTTAAAAGTATTATTTTAAAGTAATACATATATGCAGTTAAAAAAAAGAAGCTGCCATGTCATAGAATGGCATTAAATGAAAAGACTGTGTCCTGTGTGGCATCCACTTCTCTGCCCCAGTGGTATCCACTTATGGATTATAAGTTTTAGGTTACACAAATCATGCATGAATATGATTGTAAAAATTTCAAACCGTACAGCATACAGATAAGCTTGAGTCCCTCTAGACCATCACTCCAATTACATTGCCCTTCTCAGAGGTAACTGCCATTGTTAACATTGGTTGGTTTTCTCCCAGATCTCTATGATCTTTATAAGTATGCATGTTTTGGTTTTTATTTTACAGAAATGGTATACCACATTTGTTATCTAGCGTCTTGCTTTTTTGACTTAACAATACATTTTGAATATCTTTCCATGTCAGTAAATATATCTTCATTTTGCTTCTTTAAACTGCTGTATACTATGAATGTGGGATAATTTATTTCTGTACAATAAACACTTAGATATTTCCAATTCTTCATTATTACAACATGTAGCTGCAATGAACATCATTGTCCCTACTTTTTGGTATATACATGAAAGTTTTTCTCTGAAATAGTTAAAAAGTATCAATTTTCAGCTTGTAATCCCAGCTACTCAGGAGGCTGAGGCGGTAGAATCATTTGAACCCAGGAGTCAGAGGTTGCAGTGAGCCAAGATGGCGCCACTGCACTCTAGCCTGGTCGACAGAGTGAGACTCCATTCCCCGTCACCCCCCAAATTATCAGTTTTCAGCGATTTATATTTTTAGTTTTGTGGTTTTTTTTTTTTTTTGAGACAGGGTCTCACTGTTGCCCAGGCTGGAGTGCAGTCACGCAATCTCAGCTCAACCTCTGCCTCCCAGGCTCAAGTGATTCTCCTGCCTCGGCCTCCCAAATAGCTGGGACTATAGGCACGTGCCACCACGCCCAGCTAATTTTTTTGTATTTTTGGTAGAGACAGGGTTTCGCCATGTTGGCTAGGCTGGTCTCGAATTCCTGGCCTCAAGTGATCCGCCTGCCTTGGGCTCCCAAAGTGTTGGTATTACAGGCATGAGCCACTGCAGCTGGCCTATTTTTAGTTCTTTTGTTGGCTAGTTATCGTGATCATTTAGAACAATATGCTAATTATTTATTTCTTGATTTACCAAATATAGATCTTATCAATTGACTTTTTACTATGAAAGATGAGGAATTTAGCTATATATATGACTTTTCATTCCCAAGTTTTATTAAATATATTTTTATTATTGGCTCTTCTGTTGATTACCACTTTATATAACACACTTAAGTGTCTAGTTCTTACACAGTCAACTTTAGACAATATCTTTTCATTCTCTACGATTAACAATGACGATACTAATATTTCTACTTCATCTGCTCTTCTCTTCTCCCAACCTGGGTCAGTTATAGTAATACTTTTCCTCTGTCCAGGTGTATAAATTTTCCATTCTATTCTATAATTATTTCATTATATATTATACAACCCTGCCTTCATCTTTTATGTGCTTTTGGGGCTACCAAATGCGCTGCTTTTACCTGTAAATTAAATCTTAATCACTCTCTTTTTTCCAGAAAGTCATCAAATTCACTACTGTATTAATGGATTCTCCCTTCTGTTCTTTTTGTCTATCTTTAATATTGTTTCAGTAAGAATTTGGATGAAGGGATTGTAAATGCATGAGTCCAGACATCCATCTTGAACCACACAAAGCAGGAACTTTTAAAAGATCCTCTTCAGTGTCACTGTTTCTTTTAAGGCATTTTCAACATTTCATAGCAGCCAGTTTCAGCAAACAAGGCAATTCGTAGTTTTTAATTAGCTAAAGACAAGTGAAAGTGATCTATAAACAAAACCACAGAACCAAACTTAAAACCCAGCAAAAATGGTGTTCATCACTGATTCTGTTACAAGATACCTAATTGAAAAACTTACCTCTAACTCTTATCTGTCATCTTGGATAACAAGGGGAGGGACTGGGGGAAACCCCAGTGATCATAACGGAGCTACGAAGATAGGTTGTTTAATGGCGCATGCTGTGCTGGGGCTGCCTCTGGGAACTGGCACTGCTCGCAGTCCATGGCAAGGCAGTGATTCCAAATTTGGAATCCAGGAATTCTGACACTTCAGAGCTGCATGAGTTTTCGCTACTTAATTTCTTAAGTTTCAGCTTCCTTGTCTATAAAGTAGGAGTAATAATAGTGTCGACCTCATAGGGTTGTTATGTGTATTAAACGAAAATACATGTAAATCATTTGGTTCAATGCCAACACATACTAAGCATTCAATAAATGTTAGTTGTTTTTATAATGGACCTTGCATTCTGATTATCACAGTCCTCTGTGGAATTCCAGAAGGAAACAATATGATCCCGACCCTCCATGGAGCTCCTAGTCTAAGATGGAGATGTGGCCAATATTTTCACTCTATAGTGCTGCACACATGGCAGGAGTTTAATGGATATCTGTTGATAAGGAATTGAAAAACCTACTGGTCCAGATGGAAGAGATAGCTCTTCCTTTCAGCGAATACTATCTCAGGGAATTTCTATTTCTTAGGGAATATGTGAGAAATAAGGCACATGTTATATAAACAAATATGGAGTACATTTAATCACAGTTCACCCAAATAATTCTTTCAACCAATATTTGTTACTCCTTTCTATGTGAATAAATTATGTTAGGAAATGTAACAAGATATGCTTCCTGCCTTCAAAGGGATTATAGTCTAGTAGATAAGATTTATACACAGAGCTAAATACATCAATGTGAGGACATTACTGATTAACTGGGGTAAGGCAATTTTCCAATTTTTCACCTCATTCCCATGTCCAAGTCCTCCCTCCCCTTTTTGGTCACCACCTATCTCTCATGATGTGTCGTAGCAATGTTTATTTCAGAAGTTATAAAAAAATCATGTGACCTGTGTCTGAAAAAAAAAATGGGATAGGTACATAGCTTCCTACTTCCCTAGATAAATGCATGGGTTTAATCTCCTTGCAGGCCAATGAGTTTCCCAGAGACTGTACATTCATATTGACCTCCTAACCCTAACCATTCATTGATTTCTTTTCTATGTGATAGAAACCTTTTACTTCATAGTTATTTTATTAATACATACCTATGGAGAAGTTGGAAAAAATCTTCTGCTTGTACTTTTTCTCCACCATCACCTCAAAGTCAGTGTGTTATATTTCTGGAGGGACAAAATTGTGTGAAGAAAAAAAAATTGAAGCCAGACACACATGGGTCCAAATCCAGTCTATTCCTTGCCATAGTAATAGAATTTTTAGCTAGCTATGAGGTTACTTGGAGTAGAACAAGCCCTCCTTGTCTAGGTAAATAAATTCTGATCAAAGAGATGTAGGTGGAAGCAGTGGTATGCTGGTAAATGTGTAACTGGCTCTACACACACACACACACACACACACACACACACACACACTGATCGCACAGTGGTGTGATCATGACTCCTGCAGCCTTGACTTTCTGGCCTCAAGTGATCCTCCCACCTTAGCTTGCTAGGTAGCTGGGACTACAGGCAAGTGCCACCATGCCCAGCTAATTTTTACAAAATTTGTGTAGAGGCAAGGTCTTGCTTTCTTGCCCAGGCTGGTCTTGAACTCTTGGGGTCAAGCAATTCTCTCTTCTTGACCTCTCAAAGGTGCTAGGATTATAGGCATGAGCCACAATGTATTGCCCAGAATGGTTTGATTAATTTTTGCTGAACTCTTATATCTGCATGCAACCTATGCAGTTCCACCATGGCTTGACAGATGGAGTTGCATTCCAATTCACTATCTCTTTCCCTAATAGTTGTATTGTTATTAAACCTGAAATGTGATCTACAATTAAACTATTTTTCACCCTTGTACAAATTATATTCATTAAACAGAAATCTCAGCTTCAACACTATATATCAGAACTTCACTTATTTATCAGTGAGGGAAGTCATTTCTTTGCTGAATTTAATAACAATTTTTAAATACTGGAATCATATTTCCTTAATGTTTTGTTCTATTCATAATGTAATTGTTACAGACACACCATGCTTTTAAGTTGAATCTACATTTTTAACATTTTTCTCTATCACATTCTTAAGTTTAGACCATCAGTAAAGTAGTAAATCAAACCCTGACCTGTAGCAATTGCTGATTTCTATGGTGCAAATATTCCCATCATGGTTATGTTCAAACTGCCAGGAGGTCACTGAACGCAGAGTTGGGAAGAAATATGCAGTGTTTCCACCATATGAATGCAATAGATCTTTTGTATCTTTATGGTTATTTGGAATTCTTCTCTGAATTGTCTATTCATATTTTCTTATCATTTTTCAATTAGGTTGTTTCTTTTTCTCTCACTTGTAAGAACTCTTTGTGTATTATCAGTCATATGTATCATTTGTCAATAGAATGTAAACTCCATGAATGCAGGGATCTTGTTTGCTTTATTCAGCACTGAAATCCCATAGCACCTATCACATAAAAGTTATTCAAGCAAATATTTGTTAACTGAATAAATGTGTTGCAAATATTTCCCCAGATAATCACTTGTCTTTTTATTTTTATGCTTATGTTTTTTGCTATACAAAAATGTTAAATTGTATGTTGTCAAATATGTCTGCCTTTTTCATTTATTGCATCTGAGTTTTCTGTGCTATTTAAAAATATTTCTCTCATCCCAAGGTTGATTATTCTCCTAAATTTTCTAAAAATTTTATTTACTCTTTTGCTACATTCAAATCTGGAATCCATCTGGAATTTATTTTTGTATACGACATGCATTTCTTCCAGATGGCTGGCCCATTGTGCCACTTCTGTAAATAAATTACTTTTCTCCACTAAACTAAAATTCTACCTTTATGGCACATTAAGTTTCCATGTATACTGGACTCTATTTATGGTTCTTTACTTTGTTCTTTTATATATTTGCTTACTTCTGGACCTTTGCGGTACTCTTTTGATGCACCAACTTTATGGTACTTGTAATATAATAACATGCCACAAATTGTAGTATTTGCCATATATTATTCTGAGGAATTTACATTAAATCCTCACACAAACTCTATGAGGTAGGTACTATAAATATCCCCATTTTATTGATAATGAAATTAAGGGACATAGAGGTTAAGAAACTTGCCCAGCATCATATCACCACTAACAAGCAGAGCCTTAGTTTAATCCATGCATTGTAGTTCCAGAGTCCATGCTCTTAACCATTATGCCAAAGTGCTTCCCTGTACAGCCTGTGACCCTTTACTTATCTTTTTATTTTATTGTTTTAATTTTAATTTTAATTTTTTTGAGGCAGGGTCTGGCTCTGTCACCCAGGCTGGAATGCAGTGGCATGAACACAGCTCATTGCAGCCTTGAGTTCCTGGGCTTAAGTAATCCTCTCACTTAAGCCTCTCCTGTAGCTGGGACCATAGATGCGTGCCACCATGCCTGGATAATTTTTATTTTATTTTTACTTAATTTTTAATTTTGAAAATGGATGTGATCTCGCTGTGTTGACCAAGCTGGTCTTGAACTTTTGGCCTCAAGTGATCCTTCCATCTCCGCCTCCCAAAGTGCTGGGATTACAGGTGTGAGCCATCATGCCTGGCCTAATTTTTAAATTTTTGGTAGAGATAGGGTCTCACCTTGTTGTCCAGACTGGTCTTGAACTCCTGGGCTCAAGCGATCCTCCTGTCTTGGTCTCCCAAAATGTTGGAATTACAGGCCTGAGTCACTGTGCCAGCCTTATCTTTTCAAAAAATATATTATTTTTTACCTTTTCTTGGTACTTATTCTTACATGTTCTACTTTAAAATAATTTTGTTCAGTTCAAAAATAAAAAAACCTCTCTATTGGAATTCTGATTAGAATTGCATTAACTTTATATATTAATTTTGAGAGGCACATATTTTTATAAATTAGGTTTTCCATTTAGGTACATGATAAAATTTTCTGTATGTTCAAGTCTTATTTTATGTATTCTTCATTAAGATTTTATAGCGTCTATTATACAGGTCCTATACCTAATAATATCTTATCAAAATATTTTTTAAGTTTTGTCATTGTGAATGAAATTTTTCCACACTGTTAAAAGTATAGAAGAAAACTTATCGATTTTTTGTTCCTGTGTGTAATGTGTGTACGTGTATATACACTGCTCACTGATTAAATTCTCTCATTAATTCTACAGTGTTTTAAATTTTATCACTTAAGTTTTCTAGGTACACAATTATATCCCTTGTAGTCGAAATAATACTGTTCTCTGCCTATCTTTTCCTTCCTTCCTTCCTTCTCTCCTTCCTTCCAACTTTTCATGTGAGAATATAATCCCAGGTTGCCATATCATTCAGTCTTTTAAAAAGAACTAGATAGTCTCTTAGCAGGATCTGGAAAAAAATAATAATAAATGGAACTTAAAAACTTGATTTTAATATTAGATCTTCTAATTTAAATATTGTTTTGTATTTTTCAAAAGTACTTTTCAGGTCAAACAACAAAAGGCTAGAAGATGCCAGTTTTAAAAAAAATTTTATTTTTATTTGAGATATTGTCCTTTATTTTAAAATATTTGCTGTAACTCTATATTTTTTTGCACTCTATGCCATTAGCTATGACCTCCAAAATATTGAGTTGTAATGGTGATAGCACTACTATTTGGTTTTGCTTTTAATAGCAATGGCTTAGTAAATTCACTTTTTAGCATGATTATTGCTATTCACTTTTGGTAATAGGGCTTATGATAATTAAGTAGTTTTCCTTAAGTCTTTATTAGAAATAGATGTTGATATTTTTCTCTTTTACTTGTTAATAACATTAATTACATTGATACATTTGCTACACTTAAACCAGTCTTGAATTTTTGGAATAAACCTAACCCACTTGGCCGGGCGCTGTGGCTCAAGCCTGTAATCCCAGCACTTTGGGAGGCTGAGACTGGCAGATCACGAGGTCAGGAGATCGAGACCATCCTGGCTGACATGGTAAAACCCCGTCTCTACTAAAAAATACAAAAAACTAGCCTGACAAGGTGGCGGGCACCTGTAGTCCCAGCTATTCGGGAGGCTGAGGCAGGAGAATGGTGTAAACCCGGGAGGCGGAGCTTGCAGTGAGCTGAGATCCAGCCACTGCACTCCAGCCTGGGTGACAGAGCGAGACTCCGTCTCAAAAAAAAAAAAAACAACAAAAACCTAACCCACCATGGTGTATTATATTTTTTAATATACTGACAAATTTAATTTTTCATATTTTATTTAGATTTTAAAAATCTTCCTCATAAGTAAGATTGGTCTATTATGGTCATTTGGGGGAGGAGTTCTATTTGTATGAGGTTTAAGTATTAAAGTTATGTTAGCTTCATAAAATAATGATTTTTACATATTTTTAATTTGTCACCACTAGACCAACCCTACAAGAAATGCTAAAAGAAGTTCTAAATATTGAAATGAAGGTTTGATATGCATCAGTATAAAAACCCTTGAAAGCATGAAACTCACAGGGCTTATAAAACAGTAACACAATGAAGAAAATAAAGCAGCCAGGTAACAATCAACAT